TTCCGTTGCGAACTCACGCGTTAACGTTTCGTGAATCTCGAATCGCTGTCTCTTTCTCGTGGTCGCCAGATAGAAGTAGAATTGCGAGTGAACGGGACGCGGAAGTGGGTTACCGTAAAAGAGAATGTCGGTAGCCGCGGACACGATCTCACTGATATGGTTGGGAGTCAAATCTTCATCGCGAATTGCGGCGTGAACGGGGACGTCGGAAGGGCGAGTACCGTCAAAGGAAATGGGTAGCCCCGACACGATCTTCCTGATGGTGGAGTTCAAAATCTTCAAACGCGAATGGGGTGAACGGGACGTCGGAAGGGAGGTTACGTCAAGGAAATGTGGTAGCCCGACACGATTTTTCCTGATGGTGGGACGTAATCTTTCAAACGCGAATTGCTGGGTGAACGGGGACTTCGGAAGGATGGTACCGCTCAAAGGGAAGTAGGTAGCCCCGACACATCTTCCTGATGGTGGAGTCAAATCTTCAAACGCGAATTGCGGCCAGTTATGAACGGGAACGTCGAAGTGCGGTACCGTAAAAGGATTGGTTAGCCCGCGACACGGATCTCATGTATGTGGAGTCACATCTTCAACGCGAATTGCGCGGTGAAGGGGGACCCGAAGGGAGGTCACCGTTCAAAAGGAAATCGTACGGTAGCCCCGACACGATCTTCCTAGATGGTGGAGTCAAATCTTTCAAACGCGAAATTGCGGCGTGAACGGGACGTTCGGAGGACCCGTACCACCGTCAAAGGGACATGGTGGTAGCCCCGACACGATCGTTCCTGATGGCTGTCAGTCAAATCTTCAAACGCGAATGTGCGCGAGGTGAACGGGACGTCGACAGTGGTACGTCAAAAGGAAAATCGGTTGGTAGCCCGCCGACACGATCTGTCCCTGATGGTTGGAGTCAAATCCTTCAAACGCGAGACTCTGCCGGATCGTGAACGGACGTTCAGGGAATGAGGGTACCGTAAAAGGGAATGTTCTGGTAGCCCGCGACAACGATCTCACTGATGGTTTGGAGTCAAATCTTCAAAACGCCGAATGCTGGGATTGAACTGGGACGTCGGAAAGGAGGTACCGTCAAAGGGACATGTGGTAGCCCCCGACACGATCTTCTGATGGTTGGAAGTCAATCTTCCCTGCAAACTTCGAATTTGCGGTTGTGGAACGGACGTCGGAAGTGAGCGGTTACCGTAAAAGGAATGTGGTAGCCGCGACACGGATTCTCACTGATGGTGAGAGTTCAAATCTTTCAAACGCGAAGTTGCTGTGTGAACGGGACGTCGGAAGGACGGTTACCGTCAAAGGGAATGTGGTAGCCCCGGACACGATCTTCCTGAATGGTGAGTCAATCTTTCAAACGCTAATTTGGCGGGTGAACGGGCACGTCGGAAGGTGGGTACCGTAAACAGGAATGTAGTAGCCCAGCGACCGATCTCCTGATGGTGGTGTCAAATTTTCCAATCGCCGATTGCGGTGCGAACGGGACGTCGGCAAGGGGTTACCGTCAAAGGAAAATGTCGAGTAGCCCCGCGACACGATCTTTCCTGATGGTTGGAGTCAACATCTTCTTCAAACGCCGGAATTGCGGATGTGAACCGAACGTCGGAAGTGCGGTACCGTCAAAGGAATGTGCTAAGCCCGCGACACGATCTTCCTGATGGTGAGAGTCAAATCTTTAAAGGCGAAATTGCGGGTGCACGAGGAATGTGGGAGCGGTTAGTGAATGTAGTATCCTATCGACAAGAGATCTGTTATTGATGGTTGAATCGAAAGTGGCTAATAGCAGATAGCTGATCTAGCCACACAAAAATGCGCTGAAGGTTACCCTTCGATCTCAAAAACGAGGAACTTTTGGCTAATTTTTTCTATTACAGAATTGAACTAGAACGGAAAAAGTAACAACTTGCAACTTATTTTCATTAAACGTGAAATATATAAAATGAGATAAAATTCCGGTAGCTAATTTATTTGTTGCCAGCCACCTAGTCCAGATTGCGTGGAGTCTAGGTCTCTATTCGAACGTGTTATTAATTTAGAATATAGATACCGAACAGTTGAGCGTTTATAGGCACCTCCGATGAGCCGCTATTAATTAAAGAACGTTTTAATTTTGGCTCATGCGCAACGACACGCCGCCGCATAATGCGATTTTCCTACATGATTCCCTTCCCAAATTGGACGAAAACAAACCACTTGAAAAATAGGTAAGACACGAGAGGAGCCATCTTGTTGCGTAATAGGTATATTAGAAGATTTTGTTGCATTCGCTCTCGCTGTACTTAGAGGTGAGGTAAAAGGCGCCCGAAGTTGACTACTTCTCGAAGACGCGCGCGCGCCTCGCAAAAGGTCGTTAATTTCGCCCCTATGACAAAAACAAAATTCCGCCACGCAGGAGTTGTGCGCGTTTACAACATCTTTCCGACGACACCAATTTCAAAAGAATCGGACCAAAACTGTAGTAGAAGATAGAAAAAAACTGAAAAACCTTCACGTTAGTATACTACGCTCGAGGATGACGCCCAGATGTCGCCAACCCCACATCATGTAGCCATGTCCCTAAGGTTGACAAATTCCACGGTCCTGTAGATACACGTACGCCCGTTGCCTTTCTACAAGGGTTCTTCTACGCGCCCACATTTGCTGCCAGCCAGCCAGCCAGCCAGCCAGCCAGCCAGCCAGCCAGCCGGCCAGCCAGCCAGCCAGCCAAAGTGAGATTAAAAGCTACTTTTTACAAAAAAAATTTTTTGCAAAAATGCGCTAAAAATTACATCTCGAAAAATTAGAGCGATGCCAACTATGCATTATACGTATCATTAATTCAGAGTTCCTCTTTTAGACGCAACAACTCCTGCCGAATATCGTCGTCACGTAATCCACGAATAAATTGTGTCCGCAAATGTGTCTCGATGGTCGATTTTCCACAATCGGTACATGTAAAAGAGCAATTGATGGAGAGGCGTTTCAATTCTTCAATAAACTTCATGATAGACTCACCCTCATTCTGTATTCGCACTGCGAAGCGATGTTGCTGTGCAAATACGTTCGGCTTCGGGCTCAAATGTGTCCTCAACAAGTTAATTAATACGTCGTAGGTTTTTGCCTTTGGCTTTTCCAGAACTGTCAAATTTGTGAGCGTTTGGAATACTGACGGCGGAATAAGTTCAAGCAGCATTCCCACCTTTTCCTTATCCTCTGCGATTTCTTTTCTTTCTAAATAGTTTTCTAATCGATCGATAAAGTTTTCCATCGTTTCGTTTGTCTCATCGTAGGAGTGAAAATGTACCTTCCGTTTTGGAATTGCATTTCCTGTTCCCGTGCAATTTCGTTGCGTTTCATGTAAATCTTGTAAAACATTACAAATTCGGTCCAAAACGTTCTCGAGTTTTGATCCCATCCTCGTCGCCATTTTTATATATTCACGTTTAATGAAATAAGTTGCAAGTTGTTACTTTTTCGTTCTATTCAATTCGTAATAAAAAAATTACATCTCGAAAAATTAGAGCGATGCCAACTATGCATTATACGTATCATTAATTCAGAGACATAACACTCACTCGGATGGCCGATTTGAATTCTCCAAATTCAGTAGTTCATTACTGTCCATTGTTTCCTGGAGTTTCAGGTCAGTTGCAAAAGGTCTGCGATAACGGAATAAATCGAACGACCTTGCAACTTTTAATGCTCGTTTTAAAACAGGGAACGTAGAGAAAATAAAATCAATTATTAACTCATTATCGGATCGGAAATCAACAAATGTTCCTTTTCCTTCCTCCTCTAATCGGAGCGATCTTTTGAATGCTGCAGAAATCACTGCAATATCTGGACGGAAACGCTTGCAATCGGCGACGGATTAATTACCTACGTCCACGGCGACGGCGGCTAAAACAGAACTATAGAAATTATGTCTATTACCTGTAGTTTGCATCTTCCCAGCACAAATACTTTGGGCTCAACACTCGTAACGAAGCGATACCGGGCGGTTATACACACGGTCGTCAAAAAAACCCAGGTGGAAACTAGCTACTTCGTTACACCCTTGTTATTTATTTTTTTTTTAAATTATCTTAATTCTACGTCAAGATGAAGTAGGTACTAAGTTTGTACGAATATAATTTCAGTGGCTACTTTTTTATGCTAAAGTTATAATTCTCCCTTGACCATAGGACACAAAATCACTATCTCCCTTCCAGCAATTCACAATCTTAATAATATTTTTTGCGCGATCGGTCATTTCTGACTATTTACCATGTGTGTTTCCATGACAGTAAGTGGAATTTACCAGTTGCTATGATTACGACGACGCCAAAATTACTTACCGATCTAAAAACAGAACAGCAAAAATACTTACCGACGCCTTTTTAAAAACAATCAGTTCAATGTTAACAGTCTTACATTACATTTAATCTTTAATTATTGTTACATTAAACGTACAATTTGTGCTGATGTTTCCTATAGAAAGAACACGTTCTTCATTTAAACCTGAAGCAATAGAGATCAACGTGTTTGAAGATGTGCTTTCGTTTTTTTTAATACATTCCAATTACAATTTTGTTCTGTAAAATCTTCGACATACCATTCGGCCACCGGCGAATACCTCGCTCATATAGTCATAACGGAAGTGCAAAGCTAGCAAACTACATCAGACACATGCACAAGAAATTATTAATTTCAGTTTTGACAAATAAAGTGGTTACCTAGTGATGTACACCATACCACTTCGATCATTTCGATTTATTCTGCTCGTTAATTACTTAGTGCATATTTATATTGGTTGCATAATTTTAATTTCGATCGCGCAAAAAATGTTATAAGCACGTCGAACGTTAAGGGTTACCGTTCTCAGACAATAATTGGAGTCGTCGCTCCGCTCCTCCTCCAAACAATTGTCTTCGAACGGTAAAAATCCCTTACCGTTCTCCATACTTAATATACTATTTTTTGCGATTTTTTCAAAACTATTGAAGATCGATCGGAGCACAAAACGGATAGGTACGCAATGATATGTTCGTGCTCGTTCTCTCAAAAGTGAACGAGCCATGAACGAGCATTACCCATAGACATATGAGTATTCCTATGGCAAGAACGTTAAAAATACCTTTTTGTGCAATTGGACGCGAAACAACAACTTCGCGTTCGCCATGGCGGCCGCGAAATTCACTTTCGCGGCCGCTGTCATAGCGACGGCCGTTAAAGTAAGACAATGTCACATATATTTTGACAATCAGCATGTAGGCAATTACAAATCTTTTGGATAAATGTTAATATTAAGCCTACAGTTCGTATTGTTACTTATACTTACTCCTGAAATAAAGTCTAAAGTGTTAGAAGCATTATACTTTGAAACTGTAACATTTTGATTTTCATTAGAACTCAAACTGACAGGTACACTTGAAGTCCTTGTAGCATTTTTCGTACTGCCGCTTCGATTTTTCAGGTACTAACTCATAACTGCAACACAGCAGAATTCACAACAAGTTTTATTTCCGGAGGAGTTCCGGATATCGAAGAATCACTTTCGGAGTCACACATTTTGACTTCTTTCACGAAAAATTATTCATTGTTTATCTCATTTCCATGGTAAAATGAAAACTGGCCGTCTTTCTATTTGCGAAGAAAATTATTATTTTTGAAATCTCATTTTTATTATTGACGATTCTACGCAATTGCACAAAAAATGTTGTGTATACCACGGCCGCGTCATTCTTTAACGCCCTCAAAGTTGCCTTGCCTCGGCCGCAAGCGGCCTCGGCGTCAATCTTCTTTTCGGTACGTTAAAGAATGACTTCGCGGCCTAAGTATACAAATAACTATTAACGTCCTTCGTCTATGGCATTACATTAGTGCCTGAATACACTATGCGTTTTAACCGGTCCCGTTTGACCGGACCGTTTTGAACGGAGTACTGCATCCAATAGATTTAAATGCCAGCGTTTACACTTACCCGGTTGCGTTCCGGTCGCCGCAAGCGACCGCAGCTTGCTGCGTTCCAGCTGGATGACCGGATGGCGCGATGATATCAAAATCACGTGCATTTTTATGTAGCGGAGCGTTGAGTGATTCACTCAATGGTAGGAGTTAATCCGTTTGTACCGCTGCGGTTATACAGGGTGGTGACTTGCGTAAAGCATCATAGGGATTTCAATGTAAAATGCATAACATGCGATTATTGGCTCCCCAAACTATTTTAGAGCACGTCATTCAACCGTATTAGTTTTCAATTTTTTTCGTATAAAGACGGAAAATTGAAAAAATAAAACCCGTATCATTTTCAATAATCTGCGATGCCATGGAATTTTCTAAAACAAAAAGATATCCAGTTATCAATTATAAAATTCCATGGCATCACAGATTATTGAAAAGATGGGTTTTATTTTTCCAATTTTCCTTCTTTATTATGCAAAAAATTGAAAACTAATACGGTTGATAGACGTAAGCAATTTTTTTATTCAAAAAACCTTAATACATTTTTGCTCTAAAATAATTTGGGGAGCCAATAATCGCATGTTATGAATTTTACATTGAAATCCCTATGATGCGTTACGCAAGTCACCACCCTGTATAATTTTTTATAATGTTTGATGTTGAAAAGTTCATCGAATGTGTCTAATAATTCATCGACCGATTTAGTTGACGTCCGAAATATTCAAAACATTTATTTTCGTACTTGCGTATATTGTTAAAAAAGATCCAAAACCGATTGCTAGATTCACGCTCCGCAAACAACGGATGTATCCAGTAACGACGCTTTTGGGGCTGTTTTAAGCACTTGAGGGCTTCTAGAGCCAGAGCGCAAACCAGCACTACCTTTGACGACATTACAATTGCTAATAAATAAATAAAAGGATGCGTTTTCCGATGGTGATGTAGACGCACGAAACCTTCCGGTTTAAAACGCATAGTGTATTCATGCACTTACATGTTCGGTTCGGATAATGTACACGCATCCGCAAATCCTGCTCTTCGAAGGATACCCCGCCCACCTACCTCACCCCGCCAGTATTTCGGTAATTGCTATCTAAAGTTGAAAAATTCTCATTGGATACCCTTTATTTATTTATTTATTGTCCCTCTCTTGTTCTGATCCCTCAACAGACTTTCGCCCAATTACTGACTAATTAATTACCTTATTCTCTCATATGTCTATGATTAATTGATTACAATGGTAGATAGACAGAAATCCACCTAAAATTAACAGCGCCACCTTAAAGATCATTAAAAGTTGTTGGTGGAGAAGTGTCATATATTAGTTTTGTCCTAGGTCAAAAGGGCCGGCTCAAGGCAAAAGTAACGTGTAAGCTAGCACTAAAATTTGCGCCTCCGTTCATCTCGCTAAAGACTGAATAATGGGAACTTTTGGGCAAGCATGTTTTTAAAAATGAAAAAAGTTTTCGCCTTAAGGCGAATAGCTTTAGCGCATTTTCCATGAATTTATCAGTAAGTCCGGACTAGGTCATGCAACGGACCGTTTGTGTGTACAAAGGAAAATAAGTTATGACATAAATATTCTTATAAATAAGAAACTTAAGATTGCGTAGTCTGCGAATGCACACACCTGATGTTTAAAATATATGCGATATGTTTGCCTTTACTAGAAGAATCTCTGGCTAAAATTTAAATAAATCTCTATAAATAAGAAAGTTGACATTGCGTAGTTTGTGCATGCGCACATCTGATATGCTTGTCTTTACTAGAAGCATCTGTAGTTAAAATTTTAAAGAAATATCTCCATAAATAAGAAAATTGACATCGCGCAGTGTGCGCATGCGCAGATTAATCGTCAAGATTTTTCTTAGTTCAAGCGCCTTACCTATCGAATGCAAAAAGCACCAACTATATATCTTGAACACTGTAGAAGTAGTTAAGGCCTAGGGCGGACGGACAGACGGACGGAGAAAGTAGCCATTATAGCGCCTCCCAACATGAGTTGAAAAATGCGCTAAAAATACAGGTTGTTAATTACTGTCATCCAGATATTTCAGGGGGTGGTAGCACTCGTGAAAATAAGAACAAAATGCAAATATGCGAGTGGTCTAAAAAGGACGCCATTTTTGTTATACAGGGTGGCAAAAGTTTCAATTTTGTGTTTTCTCTCTTATGTTCTGGGATAATTATTTCAAATTTGATAGATCAATTATTTTTTAGAATCTCTGCAATAAAGTATCAAAATAGTTGGTCGCAATATACAGGGTGTTGCATTTTCTTTGTCACCCGGTATAACGAAAACGACGGCTCTTAGGCCATGCATATATTTGCATTTTTTCTTATTTTGACGAGTATTACCCCCTGAAATATCTGCATGAAATTAATTAACACCCTGTATAGAGTTTCATTTATTACTATCGAACTTCGTACCGCCTATCAGGCAATGTCCCGCTAATTCCAATTTAGCGTAATTGACATTGAACAAAGTTGTACAAAAATGCTACAGAGTTTTCCAAAGGGATAACGCCATTGAGTTAGAAAACTAATGGAGGGAATCAAATGCTTGGCCAGACGTAGACCACGGGAACCAAAAGTGGCCTCTCTCTAACTGTGATTAAAGTACCACACCACTTCCGTTATCATTAGCGTCTCACTTCAGTGGCGTAGAGATATAATTTTCTTTCCACTAATAGGAATAATAACAAAAAAAAACGTATAGAAGGAGTAAAATACATGCTCGTGGTAAAGTAAGCAAAATAGACAAGGATGGGAAAGTATGCAGATTTAATATAATCATTGATTACAAATCTAAATATACATCGATGTGTTCCAGTAGTATAATTAAGGCCAGTTTACTGTAGCCACTACAACTTGACAACTCCCATTAAATTCACTGTGTTGATCAATAGCTACAATTGATTGGTTGGTCTCAGGTTCATTACAACGGCAGAGAGATTCAATAATAATTTATTGTTTATTGGTCTCAAAATGTATCCGCACTCGTAATAGTACATTATATATCAAGGTAGAGAAGTCCACTATTATTGCCTGAGCACCAAGATTACATCTCGAGGCGCTTGCGCCGAGGGGTGTAAGGTGCGACGGCAATAATAGACTTCTCTACCGTGGTATATATACTATTTTTTTCACTACTAGCACTTGAAATCCTCTAAATTAACATATTATATTGATAAGAAAATGAACGGTTGGACAGAATTGTTTGTTTCTTAATTTTACATGTCAATCAAGTACGTAGAAGTACAAGTCAAACAGGCCGTATTTTGGTCTGTCATTTTGATATTTTCAAATAGTAATTTCGTTCGAATTTTTTCAAAATGTGATCATTTTAGGTATGTAATTTCTCTGGAAATGGCGGATGGTGGCAATTATTCATTTTAGAGAACTTGTCTAAACGTTTATTGAGCGAAATTTCGGGTTGTATTTTCTAAAAGTGACAGCGTGACAGTTCTCATTATTGACTACTAGTTAATAATAAAAAATTATTAACCACTTTGAACAAATGCCGAAAAAGCCTACTTTACAAGTGGAAAAAAGGTTAATAATCATGTCATCAGACGCTAGTAGTGAAAAATAGTACATTATATATCAAGGTAGAGAAGTACAGTATTATTGCCTGAGCACCAAGATTCCATCTCGAGGCGCTTGCGCCGAGGGGTGTAAGGTGCGAAGGCAATAATAGACTTCTCTACCGTGGTATATATACTATTTTTTTTACTACTAGCACTTGAAGTTCTCTAAATTAACATATTATATTGATAAGAAAGTGAACGGTTGGACAGAATTTTTTGTTTATTAATTTAACATGTCAATCAAGTACGTGGAAGTACAAGTCAAACAGGCCGTATTTTGTTCTGTCATTGAGATTTTTCAAAGAGTAATTTCGTTGGAATTTTTTCAAAATGTGATAATTTTAGGAATGTAATTTCTCTGGAAATGGCGGCTGGTGGCAATTATTCATTTTATAGGTAGAACTTGTCCAAACGTTTATTGAGCGAAATTTCGGGTTGTGTTTTCTAAAAGTGACAGTTCTCATTATTGACAGTAGTTAATAATGTCTACATTATTAACCACTTTGAACAAATGCCGAGAAAGCCTACTTTACAAGTGGAAAAAAGGTTAATAATCATGTCATCAGACGCTAGTAGTGAAAAAAAAAACTTACACCATATCCATATTATAAACTCACACGTTTAGCTGTAAAAACAAGTTTTGATAGTACCTACTGCATATTTGACGAGATATTTGATGAACATTCTCCGGTGCAACGTTTGGTCGAAATCACAGTCAATGAAGCGTTGTGAGCACAAAAGCAAATTTCGAGAGCTGTTCTTGAGATATATTTACAAATGTTAGGTAACCATTTTGCTCGAAGTACTGGTTCGTTTGGAAAACTAAGAAAGATAGACTAGGTACCTACAACCTCGCCTACAACATGATAAATGACATATTGTCTTACCGATGAAAGGAAATGCCCTGTTTCTTCCCTTTATGAGAAATTTTGCATGATACGCAGCTAATCATTCTCAATTCACAAAATTGCGTGTGATAAAAACACTATGCGGCAGTTAGTTATTTATATAAAATAAACCAGAGCACAAACCGATCCGAAATTATTAAGTACTTTAAAATGGCAAATTTAATAAAATTTGAATTTGGTGAAAAACTGACAGTGGCAGGACCCGCGTTTTCATATGTCAATAATGTCGGCCAAAATGTACCTTCACGGGAACCTATCCACGCGAGTGGCCTCTATCTGTGGCAACTTCCGTCTACAAAAATTCTTACCCCCTCTACCATTATGTTCCCTCCATTAGTTTTCTAACTCAATGGATAACGCGTATGCTATTTATGAATAAGCTTCCCGTGTACGGATTTTTTACCTGTGGTCCATCAGTCATTAAACACGAGTAATTTTTGCGCCCCTTCTTGTCTGCGGCGTAAGCGACGGACGCCTAAAGCCGGTCCTACGGCAAATATTAACGCGAGAAAAAATAATTCGTAAAATCCGATTTGTTCAAAATTTTATCTAAACGCTATCTTCTTAAACCTTTGATTGCCCAACTTTTCTCCCGTTCGACTAAATTTGTATCTCTTGCCCTATTAAGAATGCTCATATAGTAACCTTTTCTTTTATCTCGGACACAGTACTTACCTATGTATTTTATTCTTTATCAAGGAAATACCTCCTGAGTCCTGTAGAGCCAGTCATGGTTTTTGGGACCTACCAATGATAACGTGCGCACCAATACATAACAGGCCTCATATACTCTTGGTCATCTGGCGGCGATATTACGAGAAGACCCCATTAGTTTTTTCCCCTTTGAACTATATATGCTATCTCCAGTTCAGTTTGTTGTGAAGTATTTATACCTAGACATTTCAGACTCTGAAAACGACGTTTTTGAAAGAGAATGGGTGCTAGAAAATACCTGACGTTTCCTTTTTTAAGACAATCTTAACCTTTTTAGCGGGTGCGCTCGCTACTTAAAGAAATGTACCATATCATACCTACACCCTTTTTTTCAAATAATTTCTTTCGTTCTGAGAGTTCCGATGCAGATATAAAAGAGGATATGGATGGCTTAATTAAATGTGTAAAAAAATAGGATCTACTTACACATTTACACCAAGTATTTTATTAAATTATTTACATTGTTTATAAAAAAACCTGAGCTGACAGGATTGTTAAAGACACCTTCTATGTAGGGCACAGCATTGAAGATTTCACTGCTGGCGCGATCTATGTTGTAAAATTTGAATCATAGTATTCCAGGTTGCGAGCTACATGTCTCAGCATCTAAATGGTACAATCTCCCAGACAAAGGTCATCATGCCATCTTAATTCATTAGTTGTTATTGTACTAACAATGGTGTAGTGGTACCTATACACTTACTGTATGTATGCATTTGTGTAAACCAACATTTCGCCTTACTTTCTTTGTAACAAACAACCCAATCCGTGGATGCCATTATTACTATAATAGTAACTAACAAATGTATTTCACAAATAAATTTATTCCCTTTCCTTCCTTAATACAATTCTTAATCTTCCTTAAATGCAGCTCCATACTTCCTCTTCTTCTTCAACTGAGATTTGGTAGTATTAATATAATCGTCCAGTTCAACCTTATGTTCACTTTGATTAGGCCACACATTCTGTTTTTCAAGTCTATTTCTAACATCTTTTAACCGATGTTGTAATTTGGCTCGTGTATCTTCTATGGTTTCATATTCAGGTGCGTAGCAAACGTGTAAAATACCTCCATAAAATGATTTATTATCTAAAAGACGTTTAGCAACACGAGCCGATTGAATGCGTTCAAAATGGACATGATAGCATTCAGTAAATATCTCCGTTTTATAACCTGTTACACAATGAAAAGCTTTAATTTTACCGTACTTTAAGCAGGCTGTTTTCAATTCGTTCCTTAGATTGATTTTTGGAACTCCGTATATGAACAAGTGAGAGGATTCCGAGGTGATTGTGTACACCTACATGTTCACAAAGATAACTTATGTTTCTCCTTTTATGTACTCACGTACCTTCACTGCCACCAGCTTTCTTCCTTGTCTGTAAGCAGGCCGACTTTCGCATAACTGTTGTTGCTTATGATGTTCTTCTTCTTTCAAAATCGTGCTCGTACTTGATCCTTCCATTATGAACATACAGTTTTGTCAGCACATACCTTTACGCAACATCTTTTAAATCGCCTTTGTCGCCTTTCCCTTGAGTTTTGAGCATAAATAAAACACCTTTAAGTGAAGTAAAATTATAACCTCAAAACCAAAACAAATCAAACAGCGTTGTCATTTGTGCAAGCCATATACCGTACCTTACAAATTAAATGGTAAATCTTAACATGACAAAATAACGGCATTCACGAGCGCTCCTAAAATACCGTGTTCGTTAAATTCCGTAATAATTGAAAGTTTCCGCAACATTAATACTAGCGGCGTTCTTCTGTGTTAGTAACTAGGGGTGGGCGATATATCGATATGTATCGATATTTTCCTAATATCGATATGACGATATGGCAAAACATCGACGGTCGATACCTATATCGAATATCGATATAATATCGAATATCGATATATGGAATATCGTTCGTCAATATCGACATCGAAATATCGAATAGCGATGTGTAGAACTTCGATATGCTAATGTTGCATAATAAATATCGAGTACCGATATACGTTTTGCCGCATTTTCATGCTATTATTCTTTACATAAGAATGAAACAAGTTTAAAAAAAACTTTACAAAAATTGCGTCTATGGCCAATCAAACCCTTGCTTTGCTTTGCCCAAGTGTTTAACGCCTGTGATGTGGGGTCAGTGGGGTGTCTAATTAACTAATTTAACCATCCACGATATCGACACAATATAGCAGTGTATTGTCCTTGTTTATCTGCTTAATAGTTATAATTTATAACAATATAGCAGTGTATTGTCCTTGTTTATCTGCTTAATAACTATAATTTATAACTATTAAGCAGATAAACAAGGACAATACACTGCTATATTGTGTCGATATCGTGGGTGGTTAAATTAGTTAATAAAGACACCCCACATCACAGGCGTTAAACACTTGGGTAAAGCAAAGCAAGGGTTTGATTTGACCACAGACGCAATTTTTGTAATGTTTTTTTAACTTGTTTCATATATCGATATTCGATATTATATCGATATTCGATATATCGATATTCGATATTATATCGATATTCGATATATCGATATTTGATATATCGATATACAGGGCGTTTCAAAAAGAATCATCCGATTTTAAAAATTTATTGCTATTCATCTATAAGTCCGATTTGATAGAACAATGTACTGTTAGTAAGAGGAAGCTCTTGAGTTTCGCGTGGTTTCCGCTAGGTAGCAGTAGCGCGCTTCTGTCAACGCCCAGCTCAGTTATTGTCAAAATGCTAGCTAACATATGCCGTGCATCTCAAGGGGGCCATATTGAGCACCTGTAAATGGTGTATAAAAAAACTTTATTAAGTAGTTATCCTTTAATATAAAATTAACCTCATGTCCATATTATTATTAGTATTGAAATTATAAACCTACAAAATCGGATGATTCTTTTTGAAACGCCCTGTATATTGATTTCAATAGAGTATCAAATATCGATATTTAAAACGCAATATCGCCCATAGTAACTTACGAATACGTTTACGCCATACTGTATAAATACTGATATATACAGGGAATTTTTCTTAAATGTATGCATATGGGCTATGTATTCTTTTAAAAAAACGGATCAAATACATGAAATAAATGACTATATAATAAGCAACCAACTCTACACGAATTTGTTTTAAATGATAATCTGATGGATCTGCTATAGAAACAGTAACTTGATTATTCATGGTCAAATTAGGGTTAGCTATTATCATTGAATTTAGTTATAAATTCAATGCTATTATCATTGAATTTATAATTCGGAGATAAATAAATACACAAGAGCTTGATTTTTAATCGGATAATTTTATTTTTACACGAATGTTTTATGCAACGGAAAAATCTAGAGATCAAAAGAGCTGTCGCGATTTTATCATGTGCTTTTGATTGAGAGTTTTTCCAGGAAGCAACAAAATTTGAGTGAATTAAAAAGAAAATTATCCTGATCCTGAATAATTCATAAAACAACAAAAGTCATGGCTATTGCTACTAATAAGAGAAATGTTGAAATTTATTTTGAAATTTGCGGGTAATAAAACATGGAAAAACAGTTTTGTATGCACCTTTTAATTCTGAACAACTTTAAACTCTACAGTTTTTTCTGTACAATGTACAGGAGGGCAGTAGGTATATTGCATAAAACTAATTTCCCATGTTAAATCCCTATGTTCCTACTGACCCACACCACCCGGTATATAAACCTTTGATAAGTAATAATTAACTGTTATAATTTATAAATCAATCTATTTAAGTACCGTTAGAAATTCATTAATACATAATTATACATAAATAAATAACGTAATAAAAACTTACATGACAATATTTAAAATAATCAAATAATTAGTTGATTATGAAATACTGTGTTTATATTAACTAGAATGGTTGCTTTTTAATTTACTTTTAAACTAAGTCCACAGGCAGTAGAATGTAGATATTGGGTTTAGACTTGGTTTTTTCAAATAAAACCTAGAGTGCTACTCACCATAGTTGCACGAGAAAACAAATGTGCTTTTATCTACATGCTACGTATGCGATATTAAATGAGGTTTGGCAACGTAGCATGATCACAGACTATAGAGTACGCTACAGCGTAGCGTACTGTATGTCTATTCTGTGGCATGATGTTGATGTGTTGACTGACGATTGACGAATCGACGTATATAAGTTGACATGAATACAAATTTTTATACCTAATTTTTTTATTCCATTCGTGTTCCTCTAATTATCGCAACTGTATTAGTCATTAACATGATAGCCACAAAGCAGCCACATAGTAGATAACCGTTTTGTCCAGCTCACATGCTTCATGATGGTAAATTTATTTTTATGCCATATATGTATGTATTTATAAGTATGTGGGTCTGTTTCAGTCTAATTCGAATGGAGTCAACATATGCAGTATTGGTGAAGATGTCAAAAAGACTTTGGAGGAATTTCGGTTCAGAAAAGAACAGGATACGACTGCTGTAATATGTAAGCAAGTAAAGTTCGATTACCCTTTTTTCACCACTGTTTTTGCATTTTAGTAAAAGTGGATCGTGAAAAGCAGGAAATTCTAATTGATGACATTATGGAAAGTACAGATATTGAAGGCATACAGGAAGCATTGCCGAGTCACCAACCTCGTTATATCATCGTGTCGTATAAGCACAATCATAGCGACGGTCGTATTTCTTTCCCATTGTGCTTTATATTCTATACACCAAGGGATAGTCATGCTGAACTTCAAATGCTGTATGCCGGCAGCAAGATATCCCTCCAAAAGCAGTGCAGCTTGACACGCTCATATGACATAAGGGAATTGGAGGAGTTAACTGAAGAATGGCTACTGGAGAAATTAGGCAAAAAATGAAGACAATTGCTCAGGCTTTTTACTTGCCATTATTTAAAAAGGTTCCATTGAGCAATTATTTTTTAAATTCAATTATGCTGTGTGATTAAAAACCAAATTTAGTGCATGCTGTTGAACTCTAAAATAAGATGAATTGCCACATGAGCACATACTACAATATGTATGCAACATGATGTACCTTGCTTGTTTGGTTTCTCCAGTCTAAAGCCATCGACTGTATGTTAAGAGTTCAATGGTATTTGCTTTTAGAGAAATATTTATTAATATTTATATTCATAATATATATGATCATTTTTTATTAATTTTGTATTTTTATAAATTTTTAGATATTCGTTTATAGGTATTAATGAAAATACTAATGTTACATTGCTCTCATGTATGTTAGTTTTGGTATATTACAGAAATCAGTTTATTGATGGGGTGACAAGTTTTCGGATGTCTTTTCTTGTACCTGTATCCCTGTATATTCTTTTTTACAACGCTATATGCTTCTACTCAGCTAATCTATGCCGAACTGTAAATAAACCTTACATTATAGTACACTTTATCCACATTTATGTAGAGGAAACTTGCCAGTATAGGTATAACGCTTAGTATAGTTGAATAGTCTCGTAGGAAACGGACGTGATTAAACTGAGTTCCAACTATTTTTAAGGTGTTTTCATTTCTGGAAGTGGTATCAATAGAAGGTTAGAAGCGCAATAAAATTGGTCTCCTGCAAAACGTTGGTTCATAATTTTGTGAACATCTGCATTAAGCTGCGCCGTGAACCGTCAGAGCGCTTGCGTCAAGTCGGTTACCTGTAATTTAGCTTTAGCAGACGGTATGTTTGAATTGTGTTAAAAAGTTTTGCGTTAAGCCGCGAGCAAACTTAAGTTAGCCACCTATAATTTATCGCAGGGTGGATTTTATTGTGTTATTTGAATTCGTGTCGAAAAAATTGCGTGGCCTATGGTAACGTGTAAAATTGCGAATTAGAAACTATTACGTTAAATCCCAACAGAGTGGGAGTTCAAACGCATGAATTAAAGTTTGTGTCTTTCGTGCACCAGAGATACCAATAGCGAAAAGTGTTAAATACAAAAAAAGACTTGTCTTCATGAGATGTACAAAAAAATATCATAGGAACACTTTTTGCGTTGGGTTCAAAATAAATGCGCCACAGAGGTAAATATATAGTCGGAAAGCAGGAGTTTAAATCGCCGGGATCTCGCTGGCACACACTGTGTGTGCCACTTCTGCGATTTTGAACTACTTCTAGGGGAATTGTACCAGATTCTAATTACAGGTCTCATCAAAATGAATTTTATATTTCATGGTACCTTTGATGGTACCTATTCTAATTAAAGATCTCAACAAAAGGAACTGTTCTCTACTAACTACCGCCCTTCTTCCTTACCCCTTATCAAACTAGGAGGTGGGAGGAGAACTAGTTTTGTCCTTCATGGTACTCTAATGAAAAGAATTAATAAATTTTTACCAACCAATACATCTCCTCGACCCCTTATCGTGATCGGTTATATCGGGTTGTCGGAGGAGGGTACTCACAAACCACACAGAAAGATTAGGACGTCTTGAAGAAATGAATGGCCTGGACGAGACATGGGTGTAGTTGTAAGTTGATCAAACGAATACTTATCTTGAAAACAAAGTGTCGGAAGAGGGTACTAATAAAAGGCAAGTGGAACCTCTGGACGAGACACATTTCCTGGTGAGGTGTTGTCGAAACTTTTACTACAAAACGGAGTGTCGGAGGAGGGTTCTATCAAAGGGTGGAAAGATTGTCTAAACGAAACACATCCCTAGCGATGTGAAAACTTAATTGTGAATATCTCGAAAATGTTTGAGGAAAGTAGGTATACCTACAAAAGGAAAAACAAGTTTAAAAAGTCATTATGCAAACATAAATGACGAGAGCATATTTTCCTCGTAATAATACTAATACCTATTAATACTAGGATCGGGAGAAAATACCGGTCGGCACGAGATCCTTATTACTTTAGTGTAAACTTACACTATGATTATTACTCCATTCTTTTTCAAATGAGCCGCCTATCGTCGAAGTCTATACATCAGTTTAATGAAAAATAGTGGAGCGTATACAAATTACAAATATTACATACAAATTTTGAAATGGGCATTTTGTTTTACTTTTATTCGAAGTGTTTACATATGGAACTTTTTATAAATGCTTTCGTAAATAGCATTGCGCATTGTCTGTATTAGAAATTTCATTGAACACCTTTATAAATAAAACATACAGCATGGGTTAACAGTAATTTTGAAACCGGTATTAGTTTTAGTTCCATTCAAGGTGGCTGCTTTCATAAATAAGAAAGTTGTCATTGCACATGCGAAAACCAAATTTTAAAACTGGTGTTATTTAGTTGTTAGATTTATCTTTATTCCAAATGCATATGTATAAAATTTCATTTAAATAGAATAGAATAGAATATATTATAATAATTATATAAATGCTTTCATAAATAAGAAAGTTGGCATTGCGCATGCGCAAAACAACATTTTGGAAACGTTAATTTTACTTACGAAGTAGTGTTTACATATAAAGTTTCATTTAAATACTTTCATAAATAAAAAAGTTAGCATCTCACATGCGTTAAACCAAATTTTTGACACTGCGCATGTGCAAAACCAAAAAATATGGGTATGCACGGAATCCTTGGACCAAGCCCTTTCAAATGAGTTGAGTCCTATATCGCCAAAATCGGTTCAGTGGTTTAGAAGGAGTACCTACGTGTGACGGACAAACGAACGGACGGACGTCAAAGTGCAGCCAATAGCGTTTTTCACTTTGAGGAAAATACGCTAACAATATTTAGGCTTTGAATATATTCAGTTTGAGGAGAATTTCTGCATTATGCATCCCACCTTACACACAAATAAGATACGTGTTCGGCGGATTTGTATAGTTGACGGAATTTGCTTATCGGCATATACCGTGCTTATCGGGATATTTAGCAGCAAATAAATCCTGTGATTATTGAAATACATCTGTAACATTTCCATTTTTTCTGCTTTTTGTATACATTTTATTAAGAATATAATTAATAATCTTAATTTAATAAATAATTCAGATATTGACGTTTATATTGTACTTTGAAAATGTAAGTAGGTAAGTTTGGTTGCATATCTCAAGGGGTATTTGACTTGTATATTTGAGAATTGAGCATAGGAATAGTTATTTACATCATGAAAGTGGTCGTTTACATGACGCGGAGGTTTATTGAAAAGTACGAGGACACACAGCGTCCGAGTATCTCTTTAATGCCTCCAAGTCAGACTCACTTTCATGATGTATTATGTATAAAATTTTACCTGAAACCGCAACATCTAGCTAACTTTTAAAAATTAAATTATTCATATGTGTGAAATTTTGATACCTAATCACGCATACTAAAATCACTTTATTTATTTGTTTCGATAGAGACTTCAAAATAATTAAAACAATCAGTATCATTTTTAATGCAGATTGCAGTTTATGCTTTGTACTTTTCAACTATACAGTCTTTATAACTAGGTACAAAAGCAGGTATCAGTGAAGAAGAGTACCTACGCGAGACGTTGTTATAATGTAGCCGAAGCTGCGGCCGCCGTAGTGCAATATTCGCTCCCCACAAAGTCAAGAAAGAGGTACGAAAAGGCGTACAAACCTTTTAATGACTGGCGCAAAACTAAAGGAATAATTACTTCCACACATGTTCCATTAATTATTAGTAATTACAAAACCATTATCCTTTGTGTAGGTATATTAATATTTAAAAATATACAGTGTGCATTATAATTATCCAATCGTTGATTTAATAACTTATTCAATGAACGATCTAATTGTTATTTTGCATGTACTAGGACTGTAATGGGAGTCAGGCAAAAATATTACAGTACTAGTCAGGTAAAGATCAATTTTCTAATGTCAAAATAGCCCTGAAATTTAGATTTTCTTGACGGTTTCAGGTAAAAAAATTAAACTACAAGACTCCAAGCCTGCTAAGAGACAAATTTATTATCTATATTATGTTTCAGTATACAGAGTTTCTGTTCACAAGATATCAAATCAGTCTACAAAATAAAATGTAACAACAAACTGTCTTAATTATAGAGACTTCCTGGAAATTCACTATCTGATCCCGGATCATCAGGTTCTAAATCATCTTCGGGATCCTTACGCTTTCGTCCATAAGCGCGCTTACTAGTTGTGGGAACCGCATCGGTTTCTCCGTGTACTAAGGAATTACGATATAGTAATAAAGGCTGCCAATCTTCTCCACGACTGCTTGGCATTCCTAAAACATAGCATTTAGATATAAATAAATCGACTAAAACAATTACCTGTTGTAATTCGTCGATCCAAAAAGGTAAGTACGACACGCTTATCCTGCTTCAATAATTTGTTTGTAAATTCGGTGACAATCTCTAGGAATGGCAAATTGGGCGGTGGACAAGTGGGATCTTCAATGACATCAGATCCAGTTACGGCAAATAATATGCCAGCACGATGTAAGGCAGTAATAGCTTCACGATTTTTTACCGCATCAAGACCAAAGGATAAGGCAAATCTCTTCGCTAATTCCTAAAGAGAAGAGAATTAGAAATTATCATTAGAAACTAGGTTACCTACCTTTAAGGCGAAGAAATCATCATGCTGCCTTAACGAACGACCTCCACAGGTCGTTTGTAAAGATTGGAACATCATATTTAGACTTAAACACATTGTTAATGCGCAATTGACTTTGTTTATTTCCCTCGCCTTGCTAAGAGTTGCCTTAATTATGTCACCATATTCATTATAATACTTAACGTAATGTTTGAAAACATCGGCAGCCGCCTTGGTAGGCATTATATTATAAACAATTAATTTACAATAGGCCGCTAAGAAATTACGTCTCTTATGTAATTCCTCTATGCGATGTTCGTCATGATCCGAGTCTTGCTCGGGTACGAACACGTACGTTTGGACGAACTCGTTCAAGAGAAGTTGCAAATTGCGATCCGGTTCACAGATTAATTCTGAGAGGAACGGCGCGGTGTTGCCCAGTTGTTCACTGAAAACAATCAAGAGATCGCAGAGACAGACGTACGCCTCTTCCCTAATAATTGCGTGAGGTGCCATACGTATGAGGGCCTGCGCCGCCACAAAGTACTGATCCAGATGCTCCCTCAACTCCTGTATTCCCGGACCTATCGGTCCGCCACCTTCGTGGGTGGCTTCGAGGCTTTGCAAGCCCCACATTAAACAATAAAAACAGGCACTGATACTGTACTTCTGTGCTTCCGGTGGAAGTGTGCTTTCAGTTTCCTGAAAATATGACATTTAAAAAAACGGCGAACTTTGACCCACTGTCAGATACGTTCCGACAGACTCTCAATGCTACACTAGTAGAGAGGTAGCTTAGTAGTATCAGACCTAGGCAAAATAATAATAAATACTGCAGTATGTGTAAATTCAGGATGAGGTAAATGAAGCGGGTCATTGTAAGTGAAAATGAAACCGTGGAGAGTTCGGTAAATACGTCTACTCCTTACCGATGTTAAATGAAAAAACTTTATGCTAACGCTAGTTAAGTATTTTTATGTCTTACTAACATATCATAACACATTTTATATCTGTGATACGCGAGCATAAAGACTTTATGCCCTAGAGCATTAAGGATCACCATAGTAACTTATTTATATTTAATGACAAAACAAACAAATATTTGCCGGTCATTGAAAAGACGGCCCTTGAGCTTTTTAACTCGTCGCCCTCGAGAATAAAAACATCACTTTTATGCCCTTTATTTTGTTCATATAAATGAAATTAACAGCAAATTGAGGCAAGGCAAATACAAAACGCAATGACAGGTTTAATGTTAAAGATGTCAATTTAGATACGGCAATTATAATTGGAAGCAAATAGTTGCTACAGGTTTTGAAAATTCGGCCAATTAAAAATGTTCATTTAAATTTGCCGGGAATTTTTTGGGAGGAGCTTAACTGCATCTGTTGGGTGAACAGATAATAATAGTCGTTTTCGCGGAGAGTGCCACTTAATCTGTAGCTAATTGATCCAACCTCATTTACTATGTTATTCTATTGCAGCAAAGAGGTATTTTAAATCTCTTTTAACCAGTTGAATTAGGTTGGATTTTGACTCTAAACCATTCCCCATGAAAGAGACAAGAGTAAAAAAATCCAACCTAATTTTATGCTACCCCATTTTGAGAAAATATATACACCGATGGATAATCTACAAAAAATTACTCGTTTAACTAAGACAATATAGGATCATCCTAGAATTGGGATTTTTTAAATTTTCCCCCACATCACTGAGCGAATATTTTAATTTTACCATTTTAGGTCTTGTAACACTATTTTCTTGCTGATTGATATTACCGATTTGGATTCCGCTTAAGTAACTATTTGATTTATATTCCTATGTAAATCCTTTCCTGCTTTTATTTAAATTCCATTTAAGTAATCTACGATTGTTACGTTTTATTTAAATCATTACGACATCTAGGTAGGTACCTTTTTTTGTAATCCATTGTTTATAAGGTAGTTATTCTTTTACCTAGTTCTCTCTTTTACCGTTAGAGGCCATTCTAGTGTTAGTTAGTGATTGAATTGATTACTTACAGGTGTCTCTTACGCCACTACTCTTACTAGCTTCGTGTCATACCTGCTAACAGGGATTTATTGTTTTGGTTTTACCATATTTATCTTTGGAGTGGTTTCTCTTTCTCTTTGATGCCTTGGTGACTCCATCGCAACGTTCTTACGGATTAGTATTTTGCATCTGGACAATTCAAGGTATGTAACATTATTACGCAGTATTCTTTTCTTATTACGTGTTTTTTTTTAGAACTTTAACCTTTGCTCACACTTTGCTTAAGTTTTCTTATTGTTTTTCATCGTTATTTCTTTTGGATGATCTTTTACGTTGATTTACTTGGATTTTATTTACGACCAAACGCAGTGGATGATTCGGCATTTTTATTTGGATCCGCTTGACAGCGGCGAACGTCATGAGATAGATGGAGTTTCTACATTACCGGCTGCCAAAAATTCTACTTCAATTCTATCAAACAGCTGATTCTATCTGTAACCTACTTACACGCGAAGTTTGTTGACCTACACTTCAATATCTGTTCCTGAATTGTAACCGCAAGTATGTTTATGAAACCTTGGAGAACAATACTGTTGTATATCGCTTCGTTATACCTGAGCCTATGTACTTTGTTTTTGTCGTTAAAGAAGCTTGGGTATACACTACCTTAAGGAGTCCAAACAATGTACTAAAAATAGGAGATGCATCATGTTTTGTTGATTTATTGTCAATATTGACTGGTCTATAGTTATATTGCGATTTAAAATGAAGGAAAAGAGAATAATTTTTTTTATCAATACAATTTTTTTGGAAATTATCTTTTATATAAACCTGATAATAACAAACACAACAACAACACAATTATCTAATTTGGTACAGTCGTTCTGAAGTTGTCCGCGTACATACATTTCGGCGATTATTAAGTTGTTTTCTGTGTTTATGGACTTGTTTGTAAACTAACACTTTTTTGCGTGAAGAGACAGTTGCGAGGGCGATAAATAACGGTAACCGAATTAGTTACAACACCTAATGCCGGGACTGATCTTGAATCTCAACCAGGGTGTCTATCGAATTAAAGGAAACAATAAGGATGACTTTTGGACGACCTTTGGTGTACCTTTTACGGCCGTTAGAGGACTCAGCGGGATATCTTAGACATATTTAAACGATAGATAATAGATAATAATAGATCAATTGAGGACTGGTAGATACCCTGTCAACTGTAAGGCGGGATACCCCAAACGAGGGGCCAGTTGACTATTTCAGGGGTAGAATTGTGCCAACAAAAACTTTTCAACTTTGAATCTATGAACGATATACGTTGCGATTTACTAACATTCACATATTTTGTTGTTAACATTGAGTTTGCTCTCCAAAGCCATGTAATAAAAGGTCAGGTATTCAAAAGATAGAAACTTTTGCAGTGGCGGGAAAGTTTGAATTGAGAAAAAGCGAATTGTAAGATTTGTTGCAACCCCATAAATGTTTAAATGCAGCATTGAGGTTCTATTGATTCTAATCTTGCAACTTACCTTTACATCTTGAAACAATGTATTCCATAAATTCCATTGGTTTAGATTATGACAGGCATAGCACAACGATACTTTTTTGAGAGAACTGACAACATTGAATGTTTCATCTTCATTCGGAGTTTCTTCACCCAGAAGCAGATTTCTCCAATCATCTATTGCATCTTTGTAAGACGCCACAATCATATCAACAATTGTTGATCGTGCCACATCGCATCGTGTATATAATGAGTGGCCATCGGTGCACAAAAACTCTAACGTTTTAGCACAAGTTTCCAAGACCTAAAATAAAAGTTGTGTATCACTTGGCGGTTAAAAATGTTTACCTCTTGCTCATGGTGAATTTCTGCAATATGCTTCAATTTCGCCAGCAGCATGTTCAGTGATCCCTCTTGCCTGCCGCTAGTGTACAGGTCAATTTCAAAAAACTGTGGTATTGTCAATAGATTGGCAAGCTTTTCCTGGTCGACCGAGTACTTATCTAACAAAGACGGCAATGTCGCAATAAAATGTTCGGTCAATTTCTGTTTGTCCTCCCCTGCCTAAAGTAGGCGTTTAACAAATGAAATAATAAAAACAATTTTACCTGTTTTATTTCACGCAAAGACGCCATCTTGCGTGTGGGGCCCCTACCGACCGGTGCATCTCCGGTAGCAGCCTGCCTGATGCAGCAAACCATTATTTCAATAAGACTTGTTTCTTGACGATTATCCAAAGGTTCTTCGTGTGGCCCGGCTTCCTCCAGCAAAAGATCGGTCATGCACTCCCAGTCTTTCATCATGGGATTTGACTCGATCAAAGAATCGACCAAGTACGCTGCGTGCTCGTGCAATTCTGATTCAATGAAGAACTGCACCAGATCACGAATAAATGGCGTATTCGGTAAACGTTTCTTTCCTCTCTTTGTCTTACCGGGATCACCGTCAGATGGTTGAAATAGCCTTTCGTTCAGAAACTCACCGGCGGCCTGCGCAACTGCGCGATGAGACGAGTATACCTAGACGCATACAGTTCAACATAGATCAACTGAAAGGATACATTATTTACCAACTCGTAAACATGTTCACAATCTTTGTCTGTTAAAATTTCGTGGTGATGCTTCAAAATAGATATGACGAGTTTCACAGCTTGAACGGCCACATCGTACTCTTTATCCAGAGTCATTGCTACTATCCTATCCTTAAACTTGTTCGTAAACAATTCCAGTTTTCCTTTTAGTTCTTCATTTGCATATAATGGTAATAATGCTTGCAAACATCTTAATCGTACCTCTCCAACCTGAAATGTTTACATTATTTTAATAACTTTTAAGTATAGAAAACAAAATTTTTGCCAATGTAATTTTCTTAAAACTATTTTTCTCGTAAGAATAAATTTAGTTTGATGATTTGCTGTGAAGGTAAAAGCGTGTGGTATACTTTTTATTATCATAAACTTTTTTTTAGGATACCTATTTACGGATTTACACCAATATAAATAAAGATGGATCGCCGAAATATATAATAATAATAATAAATTGTCTTTTATTGGATAGTGGATAAAATATATAAAACATAATAGAAGGAAAAGAAAAGATATAATTTTGACACAATCCGATGGGGTACATGACCACACATATATCAATGTACGCGCATAACCTCAGAACGACTGCACCAAATTAGATAATTCTTTTGGTCGTTTGTTGTTATCAGAGGCGAACAGACAATCAAACGTATCAATTACCTACGTATGCCCACGAAGGTGACTGGTGTAATAACAGGATTTTATGTTTTACAGTCGAAAAGAAAAAAGAAAAGGTTTCTTTGAAGGCATTAAGGTGTACTCCGAAAAAGACTTCCCGAAGGTCCCACGGGAACGGAATACGGGAAAAAACTGGAGTTCGCCGGTGCTGCTAGTATTCAAGAAAATAACATGTTGATAAACGGAACGACCTGTATATTTTTACGTATTTTGAAAAAATAATTTAATTCTGAATAAAAAAGCTGTATAACACATAACCATATATAATACAATATTTAATTAACAACAGAGCTACAAATCTTTAAAAAATCAAAGTAAATTACCACATTCTCGACGCAAAACACTAGAAGTAATAGCAATAACTTACGAAGACTACAAAATACAAACAACTAAATAATATTAATCAACATATATAAAAATCTAGTGTCAAGGAGTTTGTGGTCAAAATCCGAAACGGCCTGACCGATTTTTATGCATTTTTTTTACATATTTGCTAGGTATGAGAATATGTCGTAATATTTCATACCACTACTATAGGTGATTATATAGTCCGCTGGGCCTGGATGTGGAAAACGAGGAGGCGCAGTCGCCGAAACCGAGCGTGCGCCCCATCCAAGAAAACGTTGACTGAGAGGCGGTATGAAGTTCGCCAGTGTGCGAGGTGAGGCGGCGCAGGCCCGATAGATAGAAATGTTTGTGGTCAAACCTCTCCGGAACGGCTCGGTAGATTTTTATGAATTTTTTGTTTTATATTTGCCTTTCGATATTATAGCTCAACATATAAAAAATGTAGCCGCCAAATTTCATAAAATTCTAAGCATTTTTGAGACCAGAGCAAAAATTGCCGTTAGAAATTCTTTTCGAATTTTCAAAAACTAATTTTGGAATCGGTATGTTCATGTTGAAAGACGATCAGATCCCAAATTTCGCCGACAACAGAATATATTTCGCACCCCTGTTTAGGAGTGTACAATTTTGGGATAGAAATTTTGGAAATACTTTTACAAAACAAAAATGAAAAATGGTTTTCGCCTTAAGGCGAGTAACTTTAGCGCATTTTCCATGAATTGGTCAATTCTTCCCAAAAGGTCATACAAAGGATTATTTATCTATACAAAGGAAAATAAGTTACAGCATAAATATTCTTATAAATAAGGAACTTAGCATTGCACAATGTGTGCATACGCACACCGTTTAACCGTTTAAAATATGCGATATGTTTGCCTTTACTAGAAGAATCTTTGGTTAAAATTTCAAACAAATATCTATAAATAACATGCATGCGTGAATGCGCACATCTAATTTTTACAATATGCGTTATGCTTGTCTTTCTGGAAGCATCTGTGGTTAAAATTTCAAAGAAACACTCATTACGCATGCGCAATTAATCGTAAAGATTTTTCTTGGTCGAGGTGCCAGAGAGATAAGCTTCTGAATGCAAAAAGAAGAACGAACTACATATCTTGAGAACTGTAGTAGTTAAGGCCTCGGGCGGACGGAGAAAGTGGCCATAATAGCGCCTTCCAACATGAGTTGGAAAATGCCCTAAAAATATACAACTCATTTTTCTTACATACATAATAGCCACGCCCTGTATAGTTAATGGGTTAAGTAAAAGTCAAATAAATACATCCACTATAAAACATTAAAAAAATAGCTTACAGAGTATTTTTTTCTAGATCCAAAGATACAAAACTTCATATTAAAAATCTCACTTTTTTTAAATGGAACACCTTGTATATCCTCCTATACCTATCTCTGATAGTTTTCGAAACATCTTTGTTTTCCTGGTTTTTATATTCTAATCTTAAATAAGTTATATGTAATTTACATAATAGTGAGGTGGCCATGCAAAAGGGGAAATTTTTATCGAGATTTTTATCTGCCTCGTTCAAAACTAAAATCATATTTATTAATTTACTTTTATAATCATTCATTTAAATCTATAAAAACTGGAGAATAAATTTGATAGTAAAAACATAAACAAATATCTTGGTTTTTCTACTTTTTATATTTTAATCTGAAATAAGTTCTAATTTACATAATAACGAGGTGAATATGAAAAAAAATGAAACTAATATCACTGACTGGATGACATTAGGAGTTAAATTAAATTTGCTTTGTAGTCAAATGTTTTTACTTATTCTCCAGTTTTTGGACTTAAAATAAATTGTTTGAAAAATAAATTAATCGATATGATTTTCGTTTTGGACGAGATAGATAAAAATTGCGTTTTTTTTGCATGTCCACCTCACTATTATGTAAATTACTATTTAAGATTAGAATATAAAACCCAGGAAAACCAAAATATTTCGAAAACTTATCAGAGATAGGTATAGGACATTATTATCAAAAGTTGAAGGTTTTTGGAGGAGCTAAATGATGACAAAAAAATATACAGGGTGTTCTATTTAAAAAAGTGAGATTTTTTAATATGAACTTTGGACCTACCAAAAAAAAGCACCCTGTAAGGTATATTTTTAATGTTTCATTGTAGATGTGTTTATTTGACAATGATTTCCTTGCGTACCTCACAAGATCTTAATAATTGATTTTACAATCTGAGAAAAGGCGTTAATGAGATAACATGTATACAATGAATGCAGAGAACCTTTAGCTCAATCTCCAGTGTGTTTTAGTATCGTTGCAACAGATTTCAGATGGTACAACAGTCGCTCGAACAGGATAAATAGGGGCATCCCGGCTTCATTTTTCATTTCTGATCTACAAAGTACAAAGTACATTCAAAATAAAAAGACCCGCGTATCCTCAATTTTTATTTGCGAGTAAAATAAACCCAAAATAAATGATTGAAAACCTACAACCAATCGCGTAGAAGTGAGCTGGCAACCTTGTGCGAGATCCAAACTCCCACGTGAAAGTGAATGATAAGTAATAAGTGCCTGTGAGATTCTCCTGCAATATTGCCAAGCCGTGATGTCATCTGAATGGTTCTAGCAGCTGATTGGTTGGGCTTACAGCACATTTTGTTATTTTTAGCTTCCTAGCATGTGCTAGGTAGCTATTGCGATAGCCGTTTTTTGAAAATTTCAAAATTTCATCAAATGTCGACGTTTTAGACCATTTTAAGCAACTTTTAAAGAATAAAATTTTTTTCCGTCTGTATGTACGTACGTACGTACGTACGTACGTACGTTTGTTGGCAATTTTCTGAGAAAACGGCTCGACGGATTTTGTTGAAATTTTGTATATATGTTTTAGGCATACCGAACAGAAAAATAACGGGCCGGATTTTTTGAAAAAAAATGTTGGAGCGCCGTAACGGCATCGAACTTTTTTTTTCAAATAGCAACCTAAAATTTTTATTCTATTATTTGGAAGACCTTATTTTCCTGTGTACAACCTACAAAAAATTGGGCCGGGTTATATTATCAAAAAACGGAGAAAAAAATTGTCAAAGTCAAAAAATTGTGTTGCATATGTGCAAAACGCAACGATCTTGTTTCTGAAATTTTTCCCGTCTGTAAGTGCGTACATATGTTGGCAATTTTTGGTTTCAGCTAGGAAGCTATTCTGTCAAGAATTTGACACCTGGTTTTTCTAATCAGCCACCAATAAACTTTTACTGTCAAAGAAATTATCATGGTTTCGGGTATATGCTTATTAAATTAGAACCACGGAATTCAACTATACTGTAAACCCCTATTGGATAAGAATTTTTAATGACTTCTCAATATCACTCATGGATATCCAATGCACTTTAATGCATATCCGTGGATCTCTAGTAGTACAAGATCCCACATAAGGTTCTCTCATCTGTTTACCAAGTGAAATACATGACAGAGCGCATGCGGACACTCTTACATTCGATGCCTACACCACGATCAGCTGTTACGCTGCGTCCTTTTCGTTCACATGGAACAATACACTTTCTCTCTTGAGCGCTCCTACTTTATGAGCTAGAGCAATATTTGCTGCATTAAAATGATGCAAAATTCATACAAGATTGTGATGCATATATTTTTTATGCGTGTTTGTTGGGTATACTCCACAAGATGCTAGTTTTAAATTTTAAGTCTGACGTTTCGTTTCCGATTAACCATCATCAAATTGTTTTTCTTATGGAAATTTCAAAAACTTAAAACTAGCTTCTTGGGAGGGAAAAAAGTAGCCATAAATGTGTCATTTATTTTGAAATATCTTTGTAAATACCTTCGGTAAAAAATAAAAACGATTATGTCCAATTTCGTTTTTCCGGATATAAATCGAATTTTTTAAGTTTCAAAACGGCATTTTGTTAAGCATCAAAATACGCAACTTTGCCAAATGTAAATTACCTACCTATCTCTTACAGCTAGTTTCCGAGACCCCCATGGTGGCTCTCAAATTTGAGTTACTCTGTAATTGGACGCAAGCCTGTTGAGGGCCCGAGCAAGAGAGGAATAATAAATAAAAAATAAGGTTTATTTTACTACTGATGATTTGACCTTCAATATTACTAACAAACGATGCCGGTAAGGCGACAAACTTCTAAAAATGGACAAAGTTATTAAGATTCCACAGTTATTGCCAAAATG